CAGATGTCTGTGTGGGCAGCATGTGGGGCACCACCCGTCCCCCCAGCAGGCACTGAGACTCGGCCAGGAACACATGGTAGAACACAGGGACCCCAGGCAGGGTGAGGCCTTCCCTGTTGCTGGGCCTCTCCCTGTGTTGCTGGAAGGCCATCCCACACCCGCACTAGTCCCTCAGGTGCAGGTTGGGCCCACTAGGTTGGGCAGGCAGACTCTGTGAGTGTGAGTCAAACCCAGGTGTCCTGGCTGCCAGCACAGCGCCAGCACAGCTTGAGAAAGCAACAGGAGGCAAGCTGGCACATGGAAGGGGACGGACATCACGAATGGGGGCTGCTATTTGCCCCAGTACAGGATCTGGGGCTTACATCCTTCCATCTCTGGGCAGCATCTCTCTCTCTCTCTCTCTCTCTCTCTCTCTCTCTCTCTCTCTCTCTCTCTCTCGGCTGTACTCAGAATCTTGGGGGCCCTTGGCTTTTTAATTTTTTCCTTCAGGGACAAAAATATAACTTAGCCAGGCAGTGGTGGCATGCACCTGTAATCCTAGCTATTCAGAAGGCTAAGAGCTGAGGATCAAGGTTCAAAATCATCCCAGGCAGGAAAGCCCATGAGACTCTTACCTCCAATTAATCACCCTCCAAAAAAGCCAGAAGTAGATCTGTGGTTCAAGCGGTAGAGTGCTAGCCTTGAGCAAAACAGCCCAGGGACAGCAATCAGATGATGCATTCAAGCCCCAGGATCAGCAAAAAGAAGAAAGAAAGAGAGCGAGAGAGAGAGGAAGAAAGAAGGAAGGAAGGAAGGAAGGAAGGAAGGAAGGAAGGAAGGAAGGAAGGAAGGAAGGAAGGAAGGAAGGAAGGAAGGAAAAGAAAGAAAGAAAAGATATGTTAAGATTTGACATCTTTTATTAGAAAGATTTTATGAGATAAAGACATTATAATGATGGTATGGAAAAAAAAATCAAAGCCCAGGTCTTTCACTTGACAGGGAAAATAGTGGTTTAAAGGCCCACATAAACTGCTGCTAAATCAGAAAACTCCTGTGCCCCCATCAGCCCACAGTGCTTACATATAAACATCTAAGGAGTTTCTCATGGTTCACAGCACTGTGGTCAGTGTGTGTGTCAGGACCTAATATATAATAATGATCTGGTTAGCCAGATGTGAAGTACATGTCTAGAATCCCAGTGCTAAGGAGGCTAAAGCAGGAGGATCTTGCATTCAAAACCAGCCTGGATTATATAACAAGAACTTATCTCAAAAAAAGAAAAAGATCTGTTTAGATGAGAAAATAGGAAACTATATTCAGAATATCTAGAATGTATTTACCCATATTCACAGCTCTTCTAATTCGAAATTATCCAAATCTAGTTTGAGAACACACTTCCTGCTGTATTTTGGAGACCACAACCGGTTTCTCTTGTTGTGCTACAGATTTTATTTTTTCTCTTTTCACAAAGTGTTGAGGATCCAGCTTCAGCCCTTCTGAATGATAGACAAATGCTCTACCACCAGGCTGCAAGCCTGGCCCTGAACTACAGATCTCAAGGCCCCAAAGCCTTGCACCTCTTCCACACCAGTTCTCTCTTCATTTGACATGGCAAGTAGATAAATCTGCTGTCTTACCTACTTTAGGCATCCAATTCACTACTATTCTATTGTCATGCAATCAACCACCAAAAGTCATTTTGCAAAACTGAAATTCTCTATCATTAAACAACAGTATTTCCCATGCCCAGCTCAGACCACATTTTCTTTATCCATCTATGGACACTAGGGCTGTTTTCCCCTTTGACTATTATGATCATTACTGCTGCTATGAACACAAATGAAAATATCTCTTCAGGATCTTGCTTTCAGTTCTTTCGATGTATATACCCAGGCATTTTTGTATGCTGGAGCTCCTATATCTGGTGGGGGAAGGGGGGGAATTCTTTCTTTTACAACTGTGATAATAAATGTTTTACATTAAAACATTTTTCAGCCTTACAAGTTCATTTTTCTTATTTTGAAGCAAATTAAAACATTTTGCACACCCTGTGCTGGTGATTCACACCTGTAAGGAGACTAAGATCTGAGAAAGTTCAAAGCAAGCCTGGACAGAGAAAGCTTATCTCCAATTAATGAGCAATAAGTTAGAAGTAGAGATGTGTCTCAAATGGCAGAGTGCCAACCTTGCGTGGAAAAAACAAATGAGAGTAAGAGGCCTGAGTTCAAGCCCCACAAAAAAAAAGTTCTTTTTGTGTGGTCCAAGATCAGATTTTGAATTGAAGGATTTGTACCTAATGCTGTTTTCATTGGGTAGTGCTTTAGCCACACCACCAATCCCCCAAAAATGTTCTTATATTTCAGAGATGAACACTGAAAAATGTACAAAAGACATGATAGAATATCTGTAATTTGTCTTAAAATACTTTGGAAAAAGGGCTGGTGTTGTATGTAGTTCGGTGGTAGTACTTGTCCGGCATGCACAAGGTTCTGGATTCAATTCTCAGCACCTAACAACTTTAGAAAAGTACAGATGAGGGAGAGTGATAGAGGGGGTGAGACTGTACATGTGTAGAAGGGTTAAAACATGGACTAATATAAGGTGACTAGTGTCCCACGAATTAATGATTTTGCTGGTGTAAAAAGCAAGCAAATAACTGGATTACAGGCTCAAGCCTGTAATCCTAGCTGCTCAGGAAGTTGAGATCTGAGGATTGCTTTTTGAAGCCAGCCCAGGCAGGAAAGTCTGTAATACTCTTTTTATTTATTTATTGTCAATCATGGGGCTTGAACTCTGGGCCTAGGCGCTGTCCCTCAGCTCTTCAGCTCAAGGCTAGTGCTCTACCACTTGAGCCACAGAGCCATTTCTAGTTTTCTGGTGGTTAATTGGAGATAAGGGTCCCCCAGACTTTTCTTGCCCAGGCTGGCTTTGAACGGGATCCTCAGATCTCAGCCTCCTGTGTACCTAGGATAACAGGTGTGAGCTACTGGCGCCCAGCTTGTGAGACTCTTATGTCCAATAAACTACTCAGAAAAAGCCAGAAGTGGAGCTGTGACTCAAGTGGTAGAGCACTAGCCTTAAGCAAAAGAAGCTCAGGGTCAGCACCCATGCCAAGTTCAAGCCTCAAAAAAAAAAAAGCTAACAAACAGCAGGACACTGTTGGCTCACATCTGTAATCCTAGCTACTCAGGAGGCTGAGATCTGAGGAGCAAGGTTCAGAGCCACCTCTAAGGAAGGAAAGTCCCAGGGTTGCGCCCCCACCATCCAATCTACTTGAAGAATGAATCATCCTCTGGGCCATCTCACGTTACCTCATGGATGCCAATGCTACTCCCTGGTTCCAGGAAGCCTGTCCTTACCTTTGCCACAGCACTTCCAGCTCCCTTACTCCAGTGTTCCTGCTTGCCATCCTACCAAGGCCATGGAGCCCAGTGCCACGTGCTTGCACTTGAGTGCCTGTAGGCATTGCACTGGTGTTAGTATGAGAACAGAGGAACAACTCACTGCTGGTGGAAAGAATGGTAGGGGATAATGACACAATTAGGGTGCGATGCAATAATTGTGGTTGATTAATGGTCAGATGGAATAGCAGCAAGGGAATGACATGTTGGTAAATGAATTTAGAAGAGAGTAGACCTAGTTGGTAAGTGAATTTAGAAGCTAGAGATCCTGCTAAGATAGTGTATGGCTCACTCCGCTTTAGAGTGATGGCCTAAGTGCTTCCTCACCCTGCCCTACTCCCAGGAGAACATCTAAACCAGTGTTCCCCTCTTGTGTCCTTTCCCTTCTTGGCTGGATGGGGAGGGGTCTGGGTAGGTATATAATCTCAGCTCTGATTTCCCTGCCCTATTGTGGCAGTAACTAAGGGTCATCTGATGCTCTGAGTCCTTTTCTCTGGCTCTTTTATTTACTGTTTTGGCAGGGAGGCTGGGGGCAGTACAGAGGCCTCATGCTGTGTAAGCAGGGGTTCCCACACCTCTAGGGAAGCCTTCTTTGTGATGTCCCTATAGCATTTCTAAATGAAAATTTTAAATGTACAAAAATACAGGTTCCCATATAAGCCCTATCTAGAGTCTAAAATCATTAACTCCTGGGACTTTGTCGCCTCATATATTAGCCCATGTTTTGACCCTTCTACACGTGTAGAGTCTCACCCTCTCTATCACTCTCCCTCATCTGTACTTTTCTTTTTTTTTTTTTTTGCCAGTCATGGGGCCTGAACTCTGGGCCTGGGCACTGTCCCTCAGCTCTTCAGCTCAAGGCTAGCGCTCTACCACTTGAGCTACAGCTCCACTTCTGGCTTTTTCTGCTTATATGGTGCTAAGGAATTGAACCCAGGGCCTCATGCGTGCAAGGCAAGCACTCTACCACCTTCCCAGCCCTCATCTGTACTTTTCTAAAGTTGTTGTTAGGTGCTGAGAATTGAATCCAGAACCTTGTGCATGCTGGACAAGCACTACTACCGAACTACATACAACACCAGCCCTTTTTCCAAAGTATTTTAAGAAAAATTACAGATATTCTATCATGTCTTTTGTATATTATTCAGTGTTCATCTCTGAAATGTAAGAACCTTTTTGGGGGTTGATGGTGTGGCTAAAGCACTACCCAATGAAAACAACATTAGGTACAAATTCTTCAATTCAAAATCTGATCTTGGACCCAAAAAAAAAGAACATGGTTTTGTTTTGTTTTTACTTAACACAATGCCATGCCTAACAAAATTAACAATTCCATGGAATTGTTCTACCAGTAATAGTTTCTGAATGTCTTTTTGCAATGATTTGCTGGTTTGAGTCAGGATCCAAACAAGGTCATACACATGTGTATGCACATGCGCGCACACACGCACGCACACACACACACACACACACACACACACCAGGTTAAATATTCTCATCAAAACAAGTTTCCCTCTCTCCATTATACATTATACACACCATTGGTTTGTTGAGTAAATGTGGTCCTATATAGGAAGTCTTGGGTTTGCAATTCGTTTTCTTTCTTGTAATGCCACTTACCTTTTCTTTCAGATGGCTTAGTGCATACAATAAGCAAATGGGATTTTCTTTTTTCTTTCTACCATTTTTCTTTTTTGTTCAGGTAGAGCAGAGAACTCCTTGTAGATGGTACTATATACTTCTACTGACTCCAATCCAAGGTCTGGGGACATAGATTAATAATAGAGTGTTTGCATAGCAAATGAAAGGCCCTGAGTTCAAACCCCAGTATAGACAAGAAAATGAGCTGCATACTATCCAGAGGTATATAAGGTGTAGTCTTCCCATGCTTAATGATGGCCACCAGCCAGTGGGATTCAAGTGTGACAGCCTGACCCTTCCATCGGCTAGTTCTCCCAGAAGGAAGTCTCAAAAACTTTCCTGCCTCCAGCCAAGATCCTCCAGATCTCAGCCTCCCAAGTAACTAAGATTACAGGCATGAGCCAAAGGCATTGGGCTGTACAAGCAGCAATTTCTTTTTTTTTTTTTTTTTTTTTTTGGTCGGTCGTGGGGCTTGAACTCTGGGCTTGGGCACTGTCCCTCAGCTCTTCAGCTCAAGGCAAGCGCTCTACCACTTGAGCTACAGCGCCACTTCCGGTTTTCTGGTGGTTTATTGGAGATAGGAGTCTCACAGTCTCTCTTGCCCGGGCTGGCTTTGAACCGCGATCCTCAGATCTCAGCCTCCTGAGTAGCTAGGATTACAGGCGTGAGCCACCAGCGCCCGGCACAAGCAGCAATTTCTTAACCCACAGGAAAGAAAAAGTCCAAGACTCAGGCACTATGCCAATTGGAAGAGGGATAGGAGTCAGGATGAAGAATACAAGAAGAATGAAAGAGAGGGTGTAGTTCAGTGATAGCGAGCTTCCTTACCTAGCATGTGCTAGCCCTGATGTCCGTCTCCAGAACCACCAACCCTTAACCACCCCCACCCCACCCCCCAAAAAATGCTGAAAGTCATGGCAGGAATGAACAATGGAAAAACCCAGACACCTGGCCAGAAGCCCGAGTTTGGGGCTGGCTTGATGTTTCCTTATTCAGGGGGGTTCCCCCGTCTGGGTGGTGAACTGCTCAATGCTCAGGTTTTATAGACAGGTGACCTGTGAGTCCAGCTCAGCTCAGCTTCCCAGTTGGTGCTGATGACTTTAGACAAGACAGCTTGCTGGGTTCTTCCTCTGCAAAAGAAGAAACACAATGGATTTCCCTGGCAAAGGGTGTGGCAAGTGCTTGGAAATTTCTAAGTGGTAGATTGGCACTTATTTGAAGAGGGGGGGGGTCTGCTGTCCATCTCCTTCTCTTTCTTGCCTGATGATAGGACCAAGTTAGATGGTTTGGAGTAGAGTATAAGGTGCTCATTCCACAGGCAGCAAGACCCATGCCCAGAGTCTTTCCCTGAGCTCTGCAGCTGGGTGTGTCTGGACTCCTAGCCCTGACCTTTGTTGCCTGAACTCTTAGTGCTCTGAACCTGAACCCCTGGTGACTCTTTGGGTCAGGGGTCATTGCAATCACTAAGCTCCCTCCACAGGATCCCTCATTGAGTCTCGGAAGGGGATCCAAGCAGGCTGCTCCTATGGACACCAGGCTATCTGAGCCCATTGCCCTGGAAGGGTGGGGTTTGGAGGGAGGCAGAAATAAGTCCCAAATGGTTCCTCCTCCCTAGAACCACAGCCAGTGCGTCTAAGTGAGTGCTAAACAAATGGAGCCCCTCTGCCCTGAATGAGAGAGAAATAGTTTGTCCAGAGGGAACATCTGCCTGGAGGAGCCAAGTGGTAAAACCAGCATCTCTAGGAATTCCTGGCTCCAAGACCTGGCATGGGAGAGCAGGGGGGGGGGGGGGGGGTAGGTGCAAGGGGAGGGGGAGGGGGCGGGAATTAGCAGGGGCTTGGCAGAAAGCCAGGTGCTCCTCACTCTCTTCACAGACTATTGGCTCCCACCAGCCCAGTCCCAGCCCCAGTGAAGCCTCTCACTCACTCTCTGCAGGTTCTGAGGCTTTCCTGGGAGTGGTAAGGGGTGCATCCCTCTCCACCCATATCCTCCTGGGTAAAGCATGAACTCCTCCTGTGGTCTGCACTGACTCTGGAAGCTCAGCCCCAAAGCCCACCTCTGGGTCTCCAGCCCCGAGGAGACACAGGGCTCCATCAGTCCAGCCCACACACCTTTCACTGTGGCACCGAAGTTTTCTTTTGCATGTCACCTGGGTCATTTCTTTTCTTGTTCTGTTGATTTTAGTGCTGTCTCTGTTTGCTCTGGCTAAGCCAACAGCCCCAGGATGAAAGCTCTGAAGCCTAGAAGTGTGAATGTGAGCGGCAGCAAGCTGGGATGCGGGAGGAACACTGGAGGGACCACTGGGAGCCAGTTCAGGCTTCAGTGGCAGGGTGAGGGGAGGCATTGCGATTCAACCCCCACCCCTTCCCCAGCTCAGGACCGAGACCTAGGGGCAGGGATGGGTAGAAAGACTTTCCCAGCCTCTCAGCAGGCAAGTCTTGACCTGTCACACTGCTAATTTGTTTTGAAGCCCAGCCCTAGAACTTCTAAATGCTTCACATGTCCAGAAGGCTGAATGCCTTTTCGGGAAGAGCACAATTCTCTGGAGTCTACAGCCTCTGGAAGCCCCTGTAATGGAATGAAACAACACATACACACACACACACACACACACACACACACATCCCACCTGTGAAGGCCTTCTGCACCTTCGCTAGCTCTCTGTGCAAGGCTTTTGCCTCATTCCATCTTCCAGTGGAAAAGAAATATCTCAACAGTCCCTGAGTGAAAGCTTGAGCAGTCCACACTTCTGGCTCCGGGCCCTGACTCTTTGCCCCACTCTCTGGGTATCTCTGAGATCACAGAGAAAAGTGCAAAGCAGCACCAGGCCTGGGGCGCTGGGGCAGGAGCCAACACAGCCAGCCGTGGTGTGTGTACACAGCACATGCCAGCACTCACAGCCCACACTAGCCAGGGGCATGGGGGACCTAGAGCTGACAGGCTCTCCTCCTGTCTCTGAAGATCTCACAGCAGTGGGGCCCACATTTCCTGTCTGCCAAGGGAGTTCGGCGAAATCTCTGTTTGGATGGCCAACCTGCCACACTTAATCCTCCAGGCCTGCCTGTGTGGCCTGTAGAGTGCGCATGCTCTCTCAGGGCTACAATGGAGTACCCACCCCATCCTGCAGCTGGGGAACTTAAGGGAAGCTTAAGCTTAGGGAAGCAGCCACCATCATCACAGACAGGGCCCCAGGCTCTGCCAGCTGAACCAGACAAGCCCTCTCCCCAGCCCCCCAGTCACCAGCCTTGTCTTACTGGGCTCTAAAAGTGCACCCCTCTTTTGTGTGGCACTTCCACCTCTGTTCATGTGCTCCCGGAAGTACGATGTGCTCACTCATGTGCTACCTGTGCTTTGTGCCACAGGATCCTTCCCAGCAAGGACTTCCTGTGCACCGTCAGACCAGGCACACATCTCAGTCCCAGGTGTGTAACACAGGATGTTTGCCCGTACAGAAGAACCCACAGGAGCTGCATTCTGTGTACCCCTGTCCCCCTTCCTGAACAAGGGCATTAGAGGGTTAAAGAGGTGAGTCACTCATCACCTCCTGTGACCTGTTGAGCCAGCACGATGGGAAACCCAAGCTCACAGCTATGGCCTCAGGAGACCAACACCCAAGTGAGACCCACCTTGCCACCAGCCTCCAGCCATCTCCACCCTTATTGCCTCCTACTCTCTCACTCAGCCAGGACTCAGACCAACAAAGCTTCTCTGCACCTTTCAAATGTATATCTGATGGGCTGGAGTGTAACTCTGTAACATGCCCAGCACACATCAGTCCCTGAATTCAGTTCCTAGCACCAAACACACACACACACACACACACACACACACACACACACACACACACACACACACACCTGCAGCTAGGCTGTCACTGTACTCTAAGGAATACCATCAAAGTTCTGCTCAAATACAGATGCCCTAGAGGAGAGCCTGGTGTAACAAGACCCAGGCTCGACTTCTCTGTCCAGACCCCAAACTGCCAGCTCTGCTCGCTCATACAATAATGCCTGTAATCCTAGCTGCTCAAGAGGCTGAGATCTGAGGATCAGAGTTCCAAGTCAGCCAGGGCAGGAAAATTGCTGAGACTATTTCCAATTAACGATCAGAAAACCAGGAGTGGCACTGTGGCTCAAAATGGTAGCATGCTAGCCTTGAGTGGAAAAGTTCAGGGACAGCACCCAGGCCTTGAGTTCAAGCCCCATGACTGACAGAAAAAAAGCAAGAGGGGAGGGGAGGAAGGAAGGAAGGAAGGAAGGAAGGAAGGAAGGAAGGAAGGAAGGGAGGAAGGAAGGAAGGAAGGAAGGAAGGAAGGAAGGAAGGAAGGAAGGAAGGAAGGAAAGAGAGAGAAAGAAAGGAGCTTGCAGGAGATAGTAGCAGTACCTTATTAAATGGTCTCTCCACCTTAAATACACAATAGATGTTAACACTTGGAAGAGCATAGATAATAGTAAAATACAGCGATAATTAGGAAGTGATTATATATTACTTTTGTTTTTTAAATAATTAAGTTAATTATATGTTTATACCATTTAATTTTCTAATGGTGGCTGTGTATGTATCAAGCTTTCTGCAAGCTTGTGAAGATTTACTCTGGCTCCTGTGAGCCTGTTGGAATGTCTCCAGTATACCCTGCCTATGCCTGAGCTGTGCCCACAGCTCTCTTTGGTGATTGCTAACTTGCTTTTTGAGCTCAGGATCCATATCACCTGCTTCCTGCCTCCCATGGACTGGCTGTGAGGCCTTGTGGGTTCCCTCTGGTTCCCATATGGACTTCTCTCCTTTATAGCCCTACAAGCTAGGCTCTGACCTTATTTTCTTGCCTGTTTTTCTTTGGGGAGAAGGAGAAGGAAAATCATAAAGTCCAACAATCTCCAGAGTTTAAAAAAGTTGCAAGGAGTCAGGTGATAGTGGCTCATACCTATAATCCTAGCTACTCAGGAGGTTGAGCTCTGAGGACTGTGGTTTGAAGCCAGTCCAAGCAAGAAAGTTCATGAGCCTCTTATCCCTAATTAACTACTAAAAGAGCTGGAAGTGGGGCTGTGTCTCTAATGGTAGAGTACTACCCTTGAACAACAACAACAAAAATCTCAGGGACAGTGCCTAGGCCCTGAGTTCAAGCCCCAGGACTGGCCGCACACATACCAAAAAAATGTAAGGGTGGTTTAACATCAGAAAAATCAGACAAGCACTGGGCTTATGTCCGTAATCCTAGCTACTTAGGAGGCTGAGATCTGAGGATCACAGTTGGAAGCCAACCCAGACAGAAAAGTCTATGAGATTCTTATCTCCAATTAACCACCAAAAAGCTGGAAGTGGAGCTGTGTTTCAAGTAGTAGAGCCGGGGCTGGGAAGGTGGCTCAGTGGTAGAGTGCTTGCCTTGCATGCATGAGGCCCTGGGTTCAATTCCTCAGCACCACATAAGCAAAAAGAAAAAAGCCGGAAGTGGCACTGTGGCTCAAGTGGTAGAGCACTAGCCTTGAGCTGAAGAGCTGAGGGACAGCGCCCAGGCCCTGAGTTCAGGCCCCACGACTGGATCCAAAAAAAAAAAATAATCAAGTAGTAGAGCCAACCTTGAACAGAAAAAGCCAAAGGATAATAGGAGACCCTAAGTTCAAGCCCAGGACCAGCGTAAGCACACACATACACACATACACACACACACACACACACACACACACACACACACACACACACACACACACACACTGTATAGAATGAAAGGGCTGAGGGGCCCTGCAGAGGAACTATATGGCACAGAGATGGGATTAAGAAAGTTGGGAAGTCAGGGTCAAGATATCCCTCCGCTCCTGTAGTCTGGTCCAGGCTCCAGGTGCCCTGAATACCACTCTTCCCGGGCACATCCTTCTGTTCCTCTCACCACCTCACTGAGCTCAGCGTGCAGTTTTTCCTCTCAGCTCAAGTCTTCAGAAGGAACAGGTAAGGAAGATTCCTGAGTCTAGTGACCAGGCCTAGGACACTTAGTCTCTTCCCTTTGGAATTCTCCTCACTTCACAAAGGAACCAATGAGGTCCAAAGATGGCCTGACCCAAGGTTCAAATGTCCCAGGGTGTCCTCCTCAGCTGTGGCTTCCCAAACCCTGACTAAGGCTGCCCCTTCCCCAGGGACTACTTGCCATCTTTCCTGCTTTCTAATAAGACATCCCTCCCTCTCATTGGCAGGAGGGTGTAGTTTCCTCTTCCTTCTCAGAAGCAGCCCAAATATGGAGACACATTGCTCCCTGCTCCACCATCACTTGCCCATCCTATTAGCTAACGTGAATCCCTCCTGCTTGGATGACAACGCCTTTCCTTTTCACAAAGAGACCTTGGCTTCCACTTTAGAAATGACTTCACTAAGGAACTGTTCTCGGCTCTCCAGCCCCTCCCCAGCACCATAGTGTAGCCACAATCTAGCCAAGCCTAGTGTCTGTCTAAGCAGTTCCTGGAGGTGGTCATTGAGTAAGGACAGCCAGCCTGCTGGAGCCGCTCTCCCACACTTAACCTGGGAGCCACCCCTGTCCCCTCCTTCTCCAACACACACACACACACACACACACACACGCACACATACAGACACACACACACACACAGAGTCCACCTGTCCAGACTCGCTTCCGGTCCTGCTGCTGGACACACCCACTCCAGCCAGTCTCCTCAGGAGAATGTCTTGATCAGGTCAGAGAGAAAAGCAGCAAGAGGGAACATGAGGAGCAACATCCCTTCCATTGCTGATATTCCTTCCTTCCCAGCTTGACAAGGGTTGGGAAACAACCCTGAAGCTCACACTGTTTTCTCTTGTTTTTCTCAGAGCTGGGGCTTGAACTCAGAGCCTGGGCGCTGTCTCTGAGCTGCTTTTGCTCAAGGCTAGCACTCTACCATTGAGCCACAGCACCACTTCCAGCCTTTTCTGTTTATGTGGTGCTGAGGAACCAAGCCTTGGGCTGTGTGCATGCTAGGCAAGCACTCTACCACTAAGCCACATTCACAGCCCTCACTCTGGTTTTATGGTGAGTAAAGTAAGGCTCTGAGAGCCAGTCTGGGCCTCAGGGGCAGGGGTAGGACTGGATCCCAAGAGAATCCTATGTAGTGTCCGTGCCAGCATGGGAAGGCCATTTCCCCAAAGATGGCTGCCAGCCAGGAAGCTCAGAGAATTCTCCAGAAGAGCTAAGATGCCAGAGGAGTCACAGGGAGATGGCTCAGCCCTGGGAGAGGACCTAGTTACCCACAGAGTTTCCAGAGGTGGTGGCCAACTCAATGCTGAGAGGAGGAAAGAAGAATAGCTCATCCATTGGCAAACAAAATATGAGAGTCGGGTCTAAGAATGGGGGAGAATTAGCAGAGGAGAACTAAAAAACAATAAATTTAATATGCAAGAGTCTGGTTTGATCCCTAGCATCAAGACAAAAAACAAAAACCTAGCCGGGTGCTGGTGGCTCACCTCTGTAATCCTAGCTACTCACGAGGCTGAGATCTGAGGATCACAGTTCAAAGCCAGCCCAGGCAGGAAAGTCCGTGAGACTCTTATCTCCAATAAACCACTCAGAAAGCCAGAAGTGGCGCTGTGGCTCTGGTGGTAGAGTTGAAGAGCTGAGGGACAGCGCCCAGGCCCAGAGTTCAAGCCCCACAACCAACAACAACAACAAAAATAATATGACCCAAAGTCAGTCTATTCCTATTTGTCATCAGCAGCAGCAATTCTAAACAATGTCTGATAAAGCACACAAATGGAGTGGCTGCTCCCACTGCCCCAGCTCTATCCACATATTCACCCACATTTCTGCCTATCAAATCCACACTGAATTTTTGTTTTTGGTGTTTTTTTTCTTTTTTAAAAATTATAATTAGTGCTATGACTCAAGTGGTAGAACCTTTGCCTTGAGCTGAAGAGTTGAGGGATAGTGCCTAGGGCCAGAGTTCAAGCCCCACGATTGGCAAAAAAAGACAAAAAAATATAATTCTATTGTTATTATTAAGGTGTTTTACAGAGAGGTTACAATTCCATAAGTCAGGCAATAAGTACAGTTCCTCTTGGACAATATCAGCCCTTCTTTTGCTTTCTCCCGGTTTACCCCTCCCATTCCTGCCCACAAGTTGTTCGTTTTTTTACATAGTGTATATTAAGACCTTAAACTGGGCTGGGAAGGTGGCTCAGTGGTAGAGCGTTTGCCTTGCATGCCTGAGGCCCTGGGTTCGATTCCTTAGCACCACATAAGCAAAAAGAAAAAGGCCGGAAATGGCGCTGTGGCTCAAGTGGTAGAGTGCTAGCCTTGAGTTGAAGAGCTGAGGGACAGCGCCCAGGCCCAGAGTTCAGGCCCCATGACCGAACCAAAAAAAAAAAACCAAAAAAAAAACTCTGGGTCCTCCTGCCTTAGCCTCCTGAATGCTGAGAATTACAGTTGGAGGCCATCATACCTAGCTCCCACACTGTTTCTTAAATTATGAGTTACTTTTTTCATTTTTCATTTTGTTTTGTTTTGCTTTGTTTGCTGGGTGCTGGTGGCTTACACCTATCATCCTAGCCACTCAGGAGGCAGGAAAGTCCATGAGACTCGTATCTCCAAATAACCACCAAAAAACCAGAAGTGATGCTGTGGCTCAAAGTAGTAGAGCACCAGCCTTGAGCTAAAGAGCTCAGGTACAATGCCCAGACCCAGGTTCAAGCCTCATGACTGACAAAATAAAGGACTTTTAAAAAAAAAATCTCACCAGGCACTGGTGGCTCACATATGTAATCCTAGCTACTCACCATTCACAGCCAGACCAGGGAGAAATGTCTATGAGACTTGTAGCTGCAATTAGTGAGCAAAAAGCCAGAAGAGGAGCTGTTGCTCAAATTGTAGAGTGCTAGTTTTGAGCAAAAAAAAGCTCAAGGGACAGCACCTAGGCCCTGAGTCCAAGACCCAGTACTGGCACACACACACACACACACACACACACACACACACAAAACAATTTAATCTTCTTTGGAGAATTTATGGACTCTTTTAGGATACCTTGTTCTGGTTATTCACATGTAAACAATTGAAGAAGTACTAACTCCTTTTTGTTTCATATGCTGGGGATTGGAACCTAGGGTTTTTGTGTGCATGCTAAGCAAATATTCTACCACTGAGCTACATCTCATCCCTAAGAAGTACCCCAAGAGTCCTTCCTTTGTTCTTTCCTCATTCGTCCCTCAACAGCTATGGAAGCCCTCCCTAGTGCGGAGTGCTGGAAGTACACTGGGGACAAGCCTGTTTCAGTCTGGGAGGACTTTAAGGTATGCACAGGGAAGCTAGTGAGCACACACCTCACAAACAATACACCTAGAGATAAGCACAAGGCTGGTGGGAGTTGAGAAGAGAGTTCTGAACCAAGCTTGGGGTCTGAGGACATCGGAAGAAAGGACATCCACTTTAACAGCAGAGGTGAAGTGGAAGCCAAGCAAAGGGTAAGGGGTAGTCTGAAGAACAGTCATCCTGGGCTTACCTTCAATGGTCTTATATTTGCCCCTGAGAACAGTGGAGAACCATTGAGAGCCTATAAAGAAAAGAAATGACCTAGAAATGTCCAGAGCATGGTGTTGGTTCAGAAGACACAGATTTTGGGTAAACAAAGTGAGAGCAGAGGAAGTGGTTAGCAGGCAGCTATGGTAACAAAGATCAGAGATATGGGGCCTGGAGCAAAGGGAGTCACGTCAGAGGAAGAAAGAGATTGGGCTAATTGACTGTGGGGTGCAGGAGAAGCTAGGGTAACTCCCAGGCTTCTGGCTGAGGTGGTGTCCCTCTCAGACATGAAAATAGATGAGCAGCAGGCTTAGTGCATAATCAGGCCTCACTCTCACACATGTGATGTAATTCAAATTCACTTTGTTTCTTAAGTGTGCCATCAGGGGTGTGTGTGTGTGTGTGTGTGTGTGTGTGTGTGTGTGTTTGGTTTTATAGGTCAATACTGACCTATAAAACACACCACCGGGCTAAGAAGGTGGCTCAGTGGTAGAGTGCTTGCCTTGCATGCATGAGGCCCTGGGTTCGATTCCTCAGCACCACATAAGCAGAAGAAAAAAAAAGCCAGAAGTGGCACTGCGGCTCAAGTGGTAGAGTGCTAGCCTTGAGCTGAAGAGCTGAGGGACAGCGCCCAGGCCCAGAGTTCAGGCCCCATGACCGGAGCAAAAAAATAAAAATAAAACACACCACCACCAAAAAAAGAAGAGAGATACAGAAACACACACACACACACACACACACACACACATATTTAATAGCCAGGTATTGTGGTATACATCTCTAATCCCAATGATTGAGGAGGTGTAAGAGGAAGATCTCAGTTTGAAATCAGCCCTAGCAAAACGGAGACCTCTCTCAAAAACAAGCTAAAATCAAAGTGTTAGGGACTTGGAATAAGTGGTAGAAAGCTTGCCTTGTGCTCAATCCCAGAACCATTAAAAAAAAAAAAAATTGAATGAACTCTATTGAATTTTGCCCACGGTCCTTTCATTTGACATCCACCAAATCTGGTGATGGGAAACAGACAGAATACTGGGCTCATATAATTTACAATCTAGTAAATCAAAAAGTAATAGGGGATTATAAAACACTGACACCTTCACATAAAGCACTACTTCTGCCTCTCTTTTGTAAATGCATAGCTTTTATTATAAATGTAATAACACCCATCAAAGAAAATCTGAAAAGTACAAGAAGAAAGATAAATTGCTCACAACTCAAGAATAGCAAAAGGCCTATTTAATGCTTTCACTCCTCCTTATTCATTAATCTAAGTACTTTGTTGATATAATTGAAAATAATTCTGTATATGCCTGTCTGTATAGGGCCCTTTGCACTTAATGGGATGACTAGAATAATTATCAGCTTTTAGACCCATTATTTTAGTAACTAAAAGACAAAACATACTTCACTTGATTTGTTCTTTGTCCCTAGATAGTTCATGCTTCCAAGTTTGTGATTTTATGTTTTACTTGTTCATTCATACATATAATAATATTTTTTTTTTTGGGTCCAGTCGTGGGCCCTGAACTCTGGGCCTGAGTGCTGTCCCTCAGCTCTTCAGCTCAAGGCTAGCACTCTATCACTTGAGCCACAGCACCACTTCCGGCTTTGTTCTTTTTGCTTATGTGGTGCTGAGGAATCGAACCCAGGGCCTCAGGCATGCAAGGCAAGCGCTCTACCACTGAGCCACCTTCCCAGCCCTACATATAATAATATTTTAACTTGGGGTTGCAGTATAAGTTCCCAAGCCTGTGCCGCGGCCCTGGCCAGTCAGTATAGGAACCTTCTCAATAAAGTTGCTTCTTTATGGACAAAATAATAATAATAATAATATTTTAATGTATCAATATTCAAAATCCTGCAATAAAACAATAGCAGATTGCAATGGGTACATTTCCAATTTTTTTCCAGGGATGAATCCTTAGAAATGAAATAAATGAGGAGCTGGGAAGGTGGCTCAGTGGTAGAGCGCTTGCCTTGCATGCCTGAGGCCCTGGGTTCGATTCCTCAGCACCACATAAGCAGGAAAAAAGCCGGAAATGGCACTGTGGCTCAAGTTGTAGAGCACTAGCCTTGAGCTGAAGAGCTGAGGGACAGTGCTGAGGCCCAGAGTTCAAGCCTTACAAGCAACAAAAAGAAAGAAAGAAAGAAAGAAAGAAAGAAAGAAAGAAAGAGAGAGAAAGGAAATAAATGAGACCTAGCACTAATTATCTTCAAATCAAAAGAGGAGGAGCTGGGAAGGTAGCTCATTGGTAGAGTGCTTGCCTTGCATGCATAAGCACCACATAAGCAGAAAAAGCTGGAAGTGGCTCAAGTGGTAGAGCGCTAGCCTTGTAGCCTTGAGCTGAGGGACAGCGCCCAGGCTCAGAATTCAGGCCCCACAACCAGCAAAAAAAAAAAAAAAAAAAAATCAAAAGAGGAGCCAGGCACCCTGGTGGTTCATGTGTATACTCAGCTATTCAGAGGCTGAAATCTGAAGATGAAGATTCAAAGCCAGCCTGAGTAAACAAATCTGAAAGACTCTTGATCTCTAATTAAGCAGCAAAAAGCTGAAAGTGAAGGTGTGGCTTAAGTGGCAGAAAACAAGCTGTGAGCAGAAAATGCCAAGAAAAGATCAGAAGGATCTGAGTCCAACCCCAATATGCACACATACACACACAATGAAATAAGTGAAGCAAAGAATATGAGAAATAGGGCTAAGCATTGTGGCACATGTCTGTAATATCCATTACTGTTGGGGTAGGGGAGAATTAGGTAGATCATGGTTCAAGATCAGTACAGGCAAAAAGTTAGTGAGATCTTGTCTCAACATACAAGCCAGACATGGTAGTATACAATGCATGGGAGGCTTATGTAGGAAGATTGTGGATTTTAGACAACCTTACCTGAAAAAGAGTTGAAAGCAAAAAGAGTTATAAACCAGGCTCTGGTGGCTCATGCTTGTAATCTTACCTACTCAGGAGGCTGAGATCTGAAGATCTAGGTTTGAAACCATCCCAGACAGGAAAGTCTCTTGTCTCCAGTGAACCACCAAAAAGCCAGAAGTTCAAGTCCCAAGGCTGGCACAAAAAAGGAAGAAAAAGAGAGGGAAGCAAGGAGAGAGAGAGAGAGGGAAGGAGGGAAGAAGGGAGGGGGAGGGAAGAAGGGAAAAAGGGAAAAAGGAAGGAAGGAAGATAGGCAGGCAAGAAAGCTAAGCTGGTTTCTCTTGAGTATACTGGTGGGGCTTGAACTCAGGGTGTCTGACTCTTGCTTAGCTTTTACCATTCAAGGCTGGTGCTCTACACTTGAGCTATATAGCTCCACTTCCAGCTTTTTTGCTGGTTAATTGGAGATAAAGGGTTTCTTGGGTGGCTCATGCCTGTAATCCTAGCTACTTAGGAAGCTGAGATCTGAGAGTTGCAGTTCACAGCCAGCAGAAGGAAGGAAACAGCAGAGCAGGAAGAAAGTCTCCAATTAGCCACCAGAAAACCAGAAGTGGTGCTGTGGCTCAAGTGGCAGAATCCCAGCCTTAAGCACAAAGAGGCTCAGGGACAATGCCCAGACCCTGAGTTCAAGCCCCACGACCACCAACAACAAAAAGAGAGTTTCTTGGATTTATTTGCCCTGACTGGCTTTGAGCTTCATTCCTAATATCTCAGCCTCCTGATAACTAGGCTTACAGGCATGAGCCACCAGCACCCAGCTAGTGATGCTGATTTTAATTATTCAGTTTATCATCTTATACCGATCAGATTTAGAGTATGAGATAAAGATTTTAGTTTTGTTTTCCAGAAATCTGAATGGATCTTCTTTAGGTGCCCTTCGCCCCATCCTCTTAGCTCCACCTTCTCCACTCTGCCTTAAAAAAAAGACGGATGAAATCAAATGTCACAGTCTTTGCCCTAATTACAAGAAAGTGATTTCCTTATTTGGTGAGTAACTGGCTTTCTCTACATGCCCTCACTTTCTGATGAGTAACTGAAAATGTGCTTCTGTGCTTGAACCTTGTCAGAGGTATTTGTGCCAAGTCAGCTCAAGAGCCTTTGAAATTAGTAAGACAACATATAGGTATAAGTACACAGCACAGTGCCCAGCACATGTAAAGGGCTCAATAAATGGTATTTATTTACTCAACAGAATTTTTTGTGTTTGTGTGCCAGTCCTGTGGTTTGAACTCAGAGCCTAGGCACTATCCCAGCGATTTCTTTGCTCAAGACTAGATTTTACTTGATCCAAAACTCCACTTCTTGCTTTTTTTTTTTTTTTTTAGTAGTTTATTGGAGATGAATCTCCTGGCCAGCTGGTATGGGAAGCTCATGTGTGTAATCCTAGCTACTCAGGAGACTGAGATCTGAGGATCACAGGTCAGAGCCTGCTGTGCAGGAAAGTCTGTGAGACTCTTTTTTTTGGGGGGGGTCCAGTCATGGGACCTGAATTCTGGGCCTGGATGCTGTCCCTCAGCTCTTCAGCTCAAGGCTAGCACTCTACCAACTGAGCCACAGCGCCACTCCCGGCTTTTTTCTTTTTGCTTATGTGGTGCTGAGGAATCGAACCCAGGGCCTCAGGCATACAAGGCAAGCACTCTACCACTGAGCCATCTTCCCAGCCCTGTGAGACTCTTATCTTCAATAAATTACTCAAAAAAAATCTGGAAGTGATGATGTAGCTCAAGTGGTAGAGCACTAGCCTTGAACACAAAGAGGCTCAGGGACAGCACTCAGGCCTGAGTTCAAGTCCCATGATTGGCAAAAACCAGTGAGAGAGAGAGAGAGCGTGTCTCAGGGACTTTCCTGCCTGGGCTAGCTTCAAACCAGAATCTTCAGATCTCAGCTTCTGAGTAGCTAGGATTACCAGTATGACCCACTGGCACCCAGCTCAACAGCATTTTTTCAGCTCCAATAGAAGTCAGGTGCTGTGCTCGGTTCTTAGGACCTGGAAGTGACCAAGAAAGACAGTTTCCCCCCCCACATTTCCCCCCCACCTCCCTCCTCCTGCCCTGCCCCTTGAGTCCTAGTGTGTCCTGTCTGGTGGGTAAGATAGCAACCTTAAATCTAATTGCTCAAACAAGTGATTCTCCTAAGTGT